TGATTTTTTTAATATAAAATTAATCAGAGGTTTGAATATATTTTCAAGAACATTATGAATTTATTAAATTGCTAGCATGAGATATAGATATTAATGTTTATTCCATGTATTTTTGTAATATTTTATATAATTATTATTTGATTAGACACAAAAAAAATTTAATAACGTGTAACGCGCGAAAGTCTTTGAAAAATGTTTACTGCAAAATTATACGTAGATTCTGTTTTATATATTTTCGCAAAACGCGGTACATTTAAAGAATTATAAACTTTTATTCAATATTTGATTTTTCATATAAAAATAATCAAAAATTTTAAGTAATACATGATGTAGAAATTTGAATTTAAGAACATTACGAATTTAATAAATATTTTGTCAATTTAAATCAAAGCATTTCTTTCTAATTTATCAAATTATGAGATGCTTATTCCTGTAATAAGAGAAAATATCTCGTCTAGAACTGATAGAGGAGGAAATTTTCCTTGCGAGAGATCATCTTCTACTATCTATAGGAAACTGTAATAAACTGAAATAGATGTAATAACTTGGCCGCGCGGCGCAGGGCGACGCGGGGCGTCGCGACGCGACGCGACGGTTAGCTACAAATTGCGCGTGGCACAATGGCGTTGTTAACGCCCGAGTACCTCATTATGATCGCGAAAAAAGCTGTCGATTACAAGCGGAATGCATCGGGCTTATTTAACGAAAGTGCGCGAAGCATTATCGCGATGCCTTTTATTGCAACTTTGATTTTCTAACGCGCAACATTCTATTCACATTTCAATCTCGTTCTATTCGATTTGTATTTGAAGTCGTATAAAGTTGATGATGAAACTTGTGCGATGGCTACATTTTATAGATAGAGTAAAAAAGATGAAAAAGAGTCTCATTGAACTTCTTTTTATTACAATTGTGATTACATTCTACATGTTTATTGTATAAGTAAAATATTCACAAGTTGAATAGATGATAACTATCTTATTTAGAAATAAGTTTCACCATTGTAATTTTAATATTTCTTCTGTTTTCTGCGCTGGTAATTATTTATTTTCCAATTTCAACGAGATAGAAAAAAACGATAGTTAAAGAAAAAGAAGGAATATATGTGTGTATATTGCAACGTTCTTATTATCTCTTTGGTAAGCGGCGTCTGTAAAGGGACATTATGAAAGGAACGCTAAATTACTTTTCATCAAAAATGCTTTTATATAGCTGTAGAAACCGTATTTTACAATGTTTGAACTTTTCTGCATCGTTTCAGCTTGCATGTTTATTCGCGAAGCAGACGATAGTCGCCATTATTTTTAGAAGAAGGGAGAAACGAACACGCTTTGCTCATTGAAAGTGATACAATCTCGGAAAATAACAGATGTCTCCTCGAGTGCTTAACAAAGAAAGCGTACCTCGGAGATTTCGTGAAAAGCCCTTTGTCATGCCCGAAGCGCGTTGGCGGTGAAAGGAAAAAAGAACAGGGCGGAGAAAAATCTTAGCCTCAATTATTTACTAATTCTACGACTCTCTCTCTCTCTCTCTCTCTCTCCCTCTAAGCTATTCCGTTAAATTGATTCATGTCTGTAAAATAATGAAAGTGAAAATTTATGCAGAAAAAAATCAAATCGTATTGTTTAATACATAAAAATTGAGCGATATTACTCATCGGGGCACGACGGTGTGCGTCGGAGAATTAAAAACGATTAACTCGCGTATCCGATTCGAATTAGCACGACGTAGTGAGTACGCGCGCTCGCAGTTTACTGCTGGCGTCCTAATTGGCGTAAATTAATGCATCGTGTTTAAACTTCCGCCTTTCGCGCTCGACGAGATGCAGGTCGCCTGTGAGATATTCCGCTTTTGTGTGACGAGAAGGTAGCGCGCGAGGAGTCGCATCGTTTCAACGAGACTAAACGCAGCTCGTTCCTCAGATCCCTGTCGCGTTCTGCACGCCGCCTCGGTTGTCCGGATAGCTTTGAGGCAGTAAATTTCGTTGGTATTTCATTCCACGCTCTGCTACCTGAAAATTCTTAAATGCTTGCGTTCAAGTAGTCTACCGTTTTCATGTCTCCTCGCGCTTTTTATTAATTCAATCCCGTCAGCACGATTGTAATCGATCTTCGTTTTTGACAGGGAATATCATCGATACAAGAGAGCTAGAACAATTGATATCGGATCGTATTTTATTGAAACGTTTAGAAACACAGATTTATTTAAATTATATTTATGTCACAAATGTGTTCATTAAAGCTTACGGTAAAGTCTACTTATAGATATAAATTATTCATTATCGTATAAAATACAAGTACAGTTTATAATACTAGAATATATATACTTTTGCAGATCTATCTGTTTTCATTCCATCGCCAAAGTGACGTAGATCCGCCACCGCGGGGAAATGTTTTCTATAAAATCGCAAGTTGCAAGATATAAAGTATTAACGATTAAATTATTTATCCCTCCGTCAGTCGCGCGAAATCGCGTTTTGACAGCGTAGATCCAATCCAGTAGAGATCTCACAACAATATAGTGGGAGATCGCGAACTCACTCTCTCTCTCTCTCTCTCTCTCTCTCTCGCTATCGCTTGGAGAAGCAGAGTCTCGAGAGTGAGTCGCGAGGAGAGTAGGAGACGCGGAATGATCTCGCGGCCGAGCACGTTTAACGACCCTTGGCTCGCCGCTTTACAGCTTGCACTTTTCGATCCGGCGCGGCCGGCCGCGCGGGTATTGATGTCCCCCGCTTTGCCGTCGGCCGTCGTGACGTTACCGCGACCGGGCTTGAAAGGAGCTAATGATCTACGAGTCTCGCCGAATGACAATTAACGCTCGTCCCGACGCACGCCGGCGTGTGATGATTAACCGTGATGAGATGAGGGGCACGCCGGAATGCGCATAGACTCTCGCGGCCCCGGCCGCTTCGCGCGCACACGTCGGATTTCATTTCTCGATCATCAAGGCTCTCGATCGAGAAGGCGTTACGGCAGGTGTTCGATAGTGCGACGGTGATTAGATGATTTCTCGTCGTACGTCGTACGTCGATGATTCCCATGATTTCGTTCTGAAAATAACTTTCGCTTTTTTTTTATTGAATCATTTGCACACGCGTGCTAATTATTCCTTTCTTATGGAGGATGTTGTTTAATTATCAGGGATCTTTGATAAATAGAAGATAGATATATGTCAATTGTGTATATATGTATTGTTAGGAATGGTTCATTTTTTATGTACATGTATAATCTTCTGTGAATTGCAGTTTTAAAAATAGAATAACCACTGATAAGTATGCATTGTTTCAAAGTCAACATATATTTCAGAACGTAATAATTTTGCACGTTTACTATTTACGAATACAGTGATTTATTGCTACGGAATATGAAATATTGCACAACGTATCAATATCTAAAATTTATTCACGTAATTGTTAAGTCACCTTTGTAACAACACTGCAAATTCAAGGATAAAAATTGCGTTTCTTTTTTTTTTATTTTTTATTTTTTTTTTTTTAAAGAAATCGAATTGAAATTCAGTTGACGAAATTTTCAGACTATAATGATTTTCTAATTACATCGATTTTGTAATAACGCGATGCAGATTTCCCTCTAGTAGTATTTCTTCCGTGTTGTATGTATAATTTTCGATTTGTTGTCACGGTGCGCAAAGTAATACGAACAAATTTATGCGGGATGTAATCAGCCTTGGAAAAATTCGGAAATTTACCGCCGACACGGCAATGTTTATTATTTACCGGGGCGTTATTTATTTTTTGGCGCACTTTGAAATTTGCTTTTGGCGAACCAGTTTCGACGGCGCCAATATTTACCGCGCTTCGCGGGCGATAATCCCCCGAATTATGTTCTTTGAAGCCGCGTTATTTACGCGCGCGGAAGGCCGTATGCAACGCGCCGCGTCGCGCCGCGCCGCGCCGCGCCGAATCGCGCCGAATCGCACTGCGGGAAGGTATAGGGATCAATTGAATTTTCGTAAATTGCCGTGAATTTATAAAATTATTGTGAAACGTATGTAAAATTATTTCGTCCATTGCGCGCCAGCGTTCGTAAATCGTTAACACCAGGCTCGTTGTTCTCCGCGCCGCGCCGTCGGCTACGCGAGCCGCCCGCGCCGTCGTTGGCTCGTTTGGCCGTGTTTTTTTTTCTCGCGTATCGTCAAGTAAAAATTTCGCAATACGATTAAGAACGACGCAAAATTGTAAATCGAAACGTGCTCGCGTCTGTTAATAATCCACGCTCTCGATACGTTACATCGTTACGCCCGAAATTGGTTTTTGATCGCGCTCCGTGCTAAATAATCATCGCGCAGCGATATATTCCCTGCGAGAGTTACGGCATTATCGGCGATATTATCCAGCTCCGATAATACGGTATCCGCGTTATACCATGTTATACGAATTTTAACATGTTTACGATCAACATGTCTTTTTTGTGAAAATAATGGTCGATGTTTTTATTTTTCCAAATATAGTACAGATAGAGAGCGAGAGGGAGGAGGAGAGAGAGAGAGAGAAAATATGTTATTTCTTTTTCTCTCAAAGTTTTCTCTTTTGAAAGATATTATTATATTACCGTACTGATATATATACAATTATAAAGACATTGTAATAGGTACGTAGATTGCGTTTACTTTTTAAGAAAAGTAAAGTGTAAAAACTTCCTTTGTGAAGAAAGTTGTATATATAAAAAGTATAATACATATTGAACAGGCTCGTTGAAATAAGCACATCGATTATAAGATTTCCAGCTTTATTTTTGTCACGTTAACGTGACGCAATTGCACCTATTAAAAAATGAATGATACATAGTATTATTTAATCGATACTCAATACTCTTTCACTTTATACGACATTTCGCTCTTCCTCTTTCCGAGCGGATTAGGCACTCTTAGGCGCGAAGGCGTCTAATTGAAAGGTGTCAAATCGCAGAGGAGCTA